TGTCTGCTATGACTTCCGTAGCGCAGGAAAGTTATAATGGAATTCGAATTATAAAATCGTTTACCTTAGAAAACAAAGTATTTCAAACCTTTTCATTGATCAGCGATTCGTTTAAAATACAATCACTCAAAATTGTTAAGTTGGATTCTTTCTTTATGCCTATAGTCTCACTGCTCATGGGCACTAGTATATTGTTGAGTATATACAAGGGAGGCATGTTGGTTATAGATGATAAAATCCAGATAGGAGGATTAACGTCATTTATCATGTTTGTGAATAGGCTTTTATGGCCTGTGATGAGCATAGGGTGGGTGGCTAGTCTTTTTCAAAAAGGAAAATCCGCTTTTATCCGATATGAGGAAATTATGGGATTGCCCATAGAAAATACCAAGGAGAAATTGGAGACTGCCAATGCCAAATTAACTGGAGATATTCAGTTTCAGAAGGTGTCTTTCACCTATGAAGATACAGGAATACAAGCGCTGCAGGATGTTAGTTTTCATATCAAGCCTGGTGAGCGATGGCTAGTCATAGGTAAGACAGGTAGCGGTAAATCTACCCTGGCGGAATTATTAATACGATTTTATCAGAATTATCAAGGTTCAATTCTGCTAGATGGTAGAGCCTTGGAATCTTATGATAATTCATTTATTCGAGAGCAGATTTCTTACATACCTCAGGATGTTTTTTTATTTTCTGATACGGTTAAAAATAATATTGGTTTCAATACCCTGGCTAGTCCAGACGAAGAAATTATAAAATCGGCCAAAGATGCTCAAATTCATAAGGAGATTATTCAGTTTAAAGATGGCTATAAGACCATGGTGGGCGAGCGGGGAATAACCTTATCTGGTGGGCAGAAGCAGCGAATTTCTATCGCAAGAGCATTGATAAAGCCAAGCCCTATTTATCTTTTTGATGATTGTCTTAGTGCATTAGATGTCAAAACCGAAAAGCAGCTTATAGAAGCTATGAATCAGAGAGATAGCAAGAGCACCATAATTCTTATCACACACCGCATTTTTAATCAACTCAATTTCCACAAAGTGCTCGTGCTGCACGATGGAAGAGTAGCTGAGGTCGGTACGCATGAGGATCTAATGAATAGAAAAGGATACTATTATGATATTTATAAAAAGCAGGAAATGAAAGGAATAGAATATTGATGAAGCTAAGTGAAATATGTTCTAGTACCAATTTTCATGCGAGTTAAGCCATTGATATAGATTAAAATCCAATAAAAATTAGGTTATTTTACCTATCTTTGTACCGAACAAATCTTTTTGTGTTTAGCGCTTCATACTATGTGTTAAATGCAATTACCTTAAATTTCTAGTTATATGAAAAAGTTATTTTTTTTAGTTATCTCGCTAAGCGTCATCAGTAAGATTAATGCTCAGATACCGACGGGTTATCCTACTTCGTCAGCAACCAATAATGATGATGAGTGCATTCATGAAGTACAGTTGATAAATTTATCAAACAATTCGGGTTGTACAGGTGCTTCTGCCGCTGCTTGGCCTGCGGCTAATGGCTTGCCTGCATCTGGTGCTAATATGTACGCCAATTATACCTCAGCAACTTGGTCAGTACCAGTTTTAACTCCTGCGGCAAATGTCGCATTAAATTTAAAGGTAGGTTATGAGGCAGGGAATGCATGGGCATTTTCTCATGGAATATCAATTTTTATAGATTACAATAGAAATGGAACTTTTGACTTACCTGCAGAAAAGGTAGGAGGTACTACCGCTCAAGTAACTGCTCCGGTTGGTTGTGATTTTACGTCTAGAAGCTATAATTTTACCGTACCTTCTTCTATAAGTGTTGGTCAGACATTGATGCGTGTAGTAGTAATAGAAAGCAATGCAACGCCGGGTCCATCTGGAACATATGGGTGGGGTGAAACAGAAGATTATACTGTTTTCTTAGGACAGAAGAAATGGGATTACTCTATGGGCTCCATGTTAGCTCCAGATAGCATTAGTTTCTGTGCACAGGAACCAGTAGTCATAAAAGCTAAGGTGAATAATGTAGAAAATCAGCCTATTCCAGGTGGTCGTATTGATTTATTTATCAAAAGTGCTTTACCTAGTGGTACTACCAATTTGTATTTCAATAAAGCCTATACCCAAACGGTCTTGAATGGCTCCAGTATAGAGGTAGAATTCCCTCCTATTTTATTTCCAAAAGATGAGTTGCTTGAATTAAAATATGTCATCACTCATCCCCTCGATTCGAATAAGAGCAACGACACGTTGGTGAAATTCGTTCAGGTGTATAAAAATCCAGTGTATAAGTTAAAATCAGATACGAATTGTGCTGATTCATTCAGTACCGTTCATATTTACGACAAACCATTGCCATTGTTTCACAAGTGGAATAATGAATCTATCGTGGATACAACCACTTATTTATTTGCTAGTAGCAGCAAAGTGGGAATTCAGGTAAGCCGGGGTTGGAAGTGTAATGTGGTAGATTCTATTCCTGTGATAGTAAAGCCCTTGCCTAGATTAACTATGGCTCGCGATACAGTCTTGTGTAATGGTCAGAATGTCAATTTAGCTGTGAGTATGGACTTACCAGGATTTGCGCGCTGGGATGCCAATTCCAATTCAACCTTGAATGTATCTAGTACTGGAAATTATGCGGCTACAGGGATAGCTAGTAATGGTTGTGATAATGTCGGTTTTACTAAAGTAACGGTAGTCAACCCTCCTTCTCAGCCCTATGTATTGGATACAGTNGGAGAGGTGGTGACGCTGCGCGCTTCAGGTTCTAAGGAATATGACTGGGGTCAAGGTCCTACAAGTGATAGCTTCAATACAGTGACTTTAATCAATTCGACGAGCTATCAGGTGACGGCTACCAGTCCATATGAATGTCAGATAGTAGCTTCTATACCTGTCACGGTGTATAAGAAGCCCGTAGGTCAGGTAAGTGATCTGACGATATGCAAAGGTAAAACTGGTTTATTAGAAGCGAAGGGTGGTGATACTTTTAAATGGGATATAAATGGACAGACAAATGTTACTGGAAATAGCAATATGGGCACCTATACAGGCAATGCCACAGAAGACGTCAGTGTGGAAGTTACGAATATCGCAGGCTGTAAAGACACTGCGTGGACGACCGTCAATGTGATAGATGTTAGTCAACTGGAAAAGGATATAGTATTCAAGTCTCCATTGGATTCGTACAATTGTGCTTCCCCTAAGATTCCGATTACCCTATCTGCAACTCCTACAGGCGGTGTATGGTCAGGAGGTAGTGATGTCAATGGCAATAAATTGACTGTCCCAAGTTCTTCTGGTACTATTCAAATCTTATATACATATTTAGAACCAATTAATAACTGTGAGGTACAGCGAACAAAAACAATTAAGTTCAAGTGTACGAGTGGCATCTCAGGCTTTGACAATTACGATGATTTTACGGTTTATCCAATTCCTTTCTCGGACAAGATCACGGTCAAGTATACCAGCGATAAGGCAGAAGAAGCAAGTGTGTATATTTACGACCTATCTGGTAGAGAAGTTTATCACTACAGCCATAGGTTATTGCCAGGAGAGAATATGATAGACCTTAGACAACTTCAATTAGCCAAAGGCACTTACTATCTTGACTTTCAGACCGAGTATGTAAATAGACAAGCGAAAATATTGGCGCAATAGATTTTGCATTTTAAGAATTATTAACATATTTAATATCTAAAACTAGACTTTTTGCTTTATTCGTATTATATTTACATTTGAAATAAATGTGATATGAATAAACTCTACCTTCTAATACTTTTAGTTTTTTTAGAAAATTTAGTATTTGGACAAGCAGCTCCTACTACTTATTGTGCTACAGCACCTAGTAGTACTGAATATGCGGATATTGATGAAGTTAAATTCGGCACGATAAATAACAAAACAAATTGTACTAGTCTTACTGGTAGTCAAGGCACAGGAACAGGTACTGTAGATTTATATACAAGTTTTGTTAATTCGTCTGTTCCAATTCCTATTGTGACACCTGGTAGTGCTAATCCTATTGATGTGACAATTAGAAATTGTGGATTTGGAGCTTCTTTGAACTTCAATTATTGTGGACAGGGAAAAGTTTGGATAGATTATAATCGAGATGGTGTATTTCAAGATCCTGCGGAAATGACTACACTTGGTGGCACTGCTTGTTTTGGATCTTTTCCTAATCCTTCTACATTAACTGCGACAGTAGTTGCACCAAATACAATTTCTACAGGCTTCACTAGAATGCGAGTGACATGGAGAATGTATGAAAATACTCAAGCCGCAGTGACTCCATGTGGAGCAGGTGCGTTAACCAATGGTACCAACTGGGGTGAAACAGAGGATTATATCGTTTTACTGGGGGCTAAAAAATGGGATTATAGTATGGATGCTATGTTAGGTCCAGATAGTATTGCATTTTGTGGTCAAGATCCTGTAATTATAAAGGCTGGCTACACTAATACGGGGAATCAACCATTATCTGGTGGTCGAGTTGATTTATTTATCACTGGTGCTCAGCCTGGTAGCACGACTAATTTATTTTATAATAAGACCTGGACTCAAACGACCTTATTAGGACAGAAGGGAGAAGTAGAGTTTGCGCCTATTCAGTTTCCTAATGATGAGTTAGTTAAAATGACTTTCGTCACTTTCTATCCTCTTCTAAGCTTATTCTCGTTGCTGTGCAACCACTTTAAGCAAGTCCACATATTTTTAGGTCACATATTCAATTTTAGTCTATGCTTAACACGACTAAGTAAGTCATGGCAAGTATAAATGCTGTTTGGTATGCCATTGTTTCACAAGTGGAATAATGAATCTATCGTGGATACAACCACTTATTTATTTGCTAGTAGCAGCAAAGTGGGAATTCAGGTAAGCCGGGGTTGGAAGTGTAATGTGGTAGATTCTATTCCTGTGATAGTAAAGCCCTTGCCTAGATTAACTATGGCTCGCGATACAGTCTTGTGTAATGGTCAGAATGTCAATTTAGCTGTGAGTATGGACTTACCAGGATTTGCGCGCTGGGATGCCAATTCCAATTCAACCTTGAATGTATCTAGTTCTGGAAATTATGCGGCTACAGGGATAGCTAGTAATGGTTGTGATAATGTCGGTTTTACTAAAGTAACGGTAGTCAACCCTCCTTCTCAGCCCTATGTATTGGATACAGTGTGTGCAGGTGAAACAGCCAAGCTGGGCTTAGATTATACGGGAACTGATTTTATCTACAAATGGACAGGAAGAACAGAGACTACTCCATTGATCAATCCTACTCCTGCGATAACTAGTGGTACAGAAAAATATTATGTGCAATGGTGGTATCAGGGCTGTACAAGTCGAGATTCTGTGGTACTCAAGGTAAATCCACTGCCGAGTGTGACTCTAAATTTCCCGCCCCCTATATGTCCTTTCTTCTCTAGTACAATTGTAGCTTCAGGAGCACCTAAATTTGAGTGGAGAAATGGTTTAGGAATAAATTCTTCTGTGACGGTGAGCCCATTATCTACGACAGACTATTATGTAAAAGGTACAGATGCCAATGGCTGCTGGAAAGAGGTGATGCATCGACAATTCGTCTATCCAAGCCCAGATATGAAGGTTTATTCAAATAAATCTAAAGACAATGTCTGTCTCGGAGATTCAGCTACCATCTATGTGAATGGAGGTAAAACCTATAGCTGGTCTACAGGCGCTACGGACTCTATTCTAAAAGTAATCCCGACCCAATCCTTCCAATGGACCATGATAGGGACCGATAAGAATGGCTGTAAAGATACGCTATCCTATAGATTGAATGTAAAACCTGCATTTAGTATTACCTACGATAAGACATTGAAAGGCTGCGAGGGAGAGGTGGTGACGCTGCGCGCTTCAGGTTCTAAGGAATATGACTGGGGTCAAGGTCCTACAAGTGATAGCTTCAATACAGTGACTTTAATCAATTCGACGAGCTATCAGGTGACGGCTACCAGTCCATATGAATGTCAGATAGTAGCCTCTATACCTGTCACGGTGTATAAGAAGCCCGTAGGTCAGGTAAGTGATCTGACGATATGCAAAGGTAAAACTGGTTTATTAGA